TGACAGGTATTACAACGAGAAGGTGATTTATGATGACATTTTCAGTGTCTCCATAATTCAAAAGGCTTATAAATAATTCAGAATGAGTTTTTGAAAATCTAAAAATGCAGAAAGTCTCCTGTGAGGGGTAGGTTTAGGTTTAGGGTTGGTGTAGGGCAATAGAAAATACGGTTTGTACAGTATAAAACCATTACACCTATGGAGAGTCCCCATAAACCATAAAAACAAACCTGTGTGTGTGTGTGTGTAATGTGTATATATACACACACACACCTTGCTATGTGTACTGCGTTAGGCTAACCGAGACTTGTCATTTGCACTTAAATATTGTTGCTCTTTTGTTAGTTTTGACTGCTTCTATTGTCCTCATTTGTAAGTCGCTTTGGATAAAAGCCTCTGCTAAATGACTAAATGTAAATGTAATGTAAATATTACAGCTCATTAAAAGTGAAATAGCTGATGATTGGCCGCATAAACGCACGTTATGGAGGCGTAGATTATATAAAAATAAAAATATCTGAGGAAGTTTAATGGCATTTCTATCAAAATGTTACTCAGTGAGGTCACACATGCATATTATGCAAAAGTGAAAATAAATAATTTGTAGCATAGGACTTAGCTGTAATAATCACAACATGATTTAAATACAAAATTGTTCTTTATTTGAATGGAAAGTCAAATATAACTGACAGTATAATACTAGGCTCTTGCACCAAGAGACTGTAGACCTTTGATCCATTTTTCAGGACATAAAAAGCATTAGCGACTTTTAGGTGGCAGAAATTCACACAGAAATGAGCACTGATTGGCAATTAAAAGTCATTAGAAATGGTGTAAAGTTACACTGACACGCAGATATGGTTTAGGGATTCACTACAGGTTAGTTCACCAAGAGACAAACCTGTGGGCATCTACATGGGAGGAGGTGATGATGGCTAAGCTGTTCATATTAGAGGTAGACAGTAATGAATCTTCAGTAATGTTTTAGGAAGAAATGCACACTACTAGTAATGCATGACTTGCTGTGAAGCAAAAGATCCAATTAACAAGGACGAACTTCTCATACATCAAGAGATAGAGAAAAACAGTGTCCAAATACTGCGGGAATGAAGAATAAAGCAAGTGTTTTGAAGGAGCCAAAAGCTACCACAAACAAAATAAACGTAACTCAAAAACATACGCCGACAAAGAGAGGACTCATTCAGACTTCTTCAGAGAAAGCAAATGTCCTTGGTTACTTCTTGAGCATCTAGAAAATGAATGTGAACGTACAATTTGTGCATCTCAGTTCATTGTGAAATACTTGAAGAACTGAAGATGTGAACAAATCATAAAAATGTGCTACACTATTTTAAAAGTAAAGATACACAATGCCTATGTTTACTATTCATATGTGGCATTGAGGAGCTTCTCTAAAAGACTGCAAAAACAAGGAATTAAAAACACGTAGAGCTGTGGATTCTCAAGTTCATCCAGAAATGAAAATGTGCTCACCCTCAGACCATCTAAGATGTAGATGAGTTTGTTTCTTCATCAGATTTGAAGAAATGTAGCATTCCATCACTTGCTCACCAATGGATGCTCTGCAGTGAATGGGTGCCGTCAGAATGAGAGTCCAAACAGCTGATAAAAACATCACAATAATCCACACCAGCTGTTATTATCAGTAATATTGTTAGTTATTCTGACGGCACCCATTCACTGCAGAGGATCCATTGGTGAGCAAGTGATGCAATGCTACATTTCTCCAAATCTGATGAAGAAACTAATTCATCTACATACATGGCCTGAGGGTGAGCACATGTTCATTTTTGGGTGAACTATTCCATCAAATTAGGTATTTTCATTACACTGGCATCAAAGTGCAATAACATTCAGACTGCATTTTCATTTTTATACGTAATCAAGTCTGTGCATCTCCGTCTCCTTTTCTCATCATATTCTCAAGCAATTTGAAAGTTTATTAACTCGTGGAAGTGTAATGAAACTTGAGTATTAAAGTCAACGTGAAACACAGTTTACAACTAATTGTACTTCTGTAATCTGAAGTATTGCGTTAAATAGGATATTCAACAAGAAAAAAAAATGGATGGGACCTGATTTTATTTATCAGAATTGATTGGACAGTAAAGAAAATGGGTGTTTCATACCAAAATAAATGTGTGATTTCATCTGAAAACAAATGTTGGTTTAGAGGCATTGCCATTTTTAATACAACATTTTTTTTAACTAATGTGCTCTAAGTAAACATTTTCTAATTATTTTTCATGTTGACTTTAAACTCTGGCATGTTGTCCATAATTTGTTATATGTAACAGTTCACGTTTTTTGTAACAGGTATCATCAAGATGCAATTCATGAAGCTCAGGTGCTGAATTCATATTTAGTCAAACATTTCTTACAGTAAAAATGACTTACATAACACTGAAACATTAACAGATGCTCAACAGCCGATTTTAAAATACAGAAATATAGCTTCAAAAGAATAAACTAACATGTCACTGTGCTGTATATGGCATAATAATGCAGTCTTTGTGTGGACATCACTGTAAAAGATGCAGCATGTGAAAGAAACGGCAACCGAAGAAAAGTTTCGATACCAAATAACTATGAGGAAACTCCCATAAACCTGGAGTACCCTGGAGGAAAATGCTCACATTTGGCTTTTCAGATCTAAAAAAAAAATCATGATCATTGACACACCGGAGTTTCACATCTGTGAATGCAAAACAATAACTTTGAGTTTATGACCTATGTTAACACGATTTCTTGACCATGATGACGGGCCTCTACTTACCATGTTCTCATCGTTTCATGTTGCATTTTAAGTTTGCGGTGTTTATTGATGAACTGATTTCATGCATCCGGCTCCTCTATTGCGATGTGGCTCCCGAAGAGCGTGATCAGCTGCTCCTCGTAATTCGCTATGTTTCGTTTCATGATGTCCATGCAGGGGCCTAATAACCTCTCAAACGCCTGCACGTCCATTACTGTGAAGCACAAGGTGAATGATCACATGACCCGCTGTGCAGCTGCGATGCATTATGTTATATCATTTATAATGCATTACCTAAGCATTTGACGCTGTCCATGGCATATGCAGATGCTGCCCGTGGCTTGTTAGTGACGAGTGCCAGCTCTCCAAAATACTGGCCTCTAGAGCATGTGGCGATTTCCACCTCCTCGTCTTCAGTATCGTTTTTTGACTAAAAAAAACAATGTCATGTAAAATGCAAGTGAATCTTTTCAAGCTGAAGGATGTCTTGGTTTGTTAAGACGCATAATGAACTGAATTGTGCTGATTCTTTGTTAAAACCGATCGTTTGGCTCACCTTGCTCCTCTTCATAGTGATCCTAACGTGTCCTGATTCTACAATGTAGAAAGAATCTGCCAAATCACCCTGGGAGAACAAGGTAGTTAGATAAACACTAAGCACTGCAGATATACTAAGTTTGGGGTCAGTAAGATTTTGGAATATTTTTGAAAGAAGTCTCTTCTGCTCACTAAGTCTAAGCAGTAAGCAGTAATATTGTGAAATATTATTACAATTTAAAATAACTGTTTTCAATTTGAATTTATTGTAAAATATAATTTATTGCTGTGATGCGCAGCTGTATTTTCAGCATCATTACTCCAGTCTTCAGTGTCACATTATGCTTCAGAAATCATTCTAATATGCTGATTTGCTGCTCAAGAAACATTTCTGATTATTATCAATGCTGAAAACTGATCAAATTTTTTTTTCTGGATTTTGAAATGAATAGAAATGACACGAAAACAACATTTATGTGAAATAGAAATCGCTTTGTAACATTATAAATGTATTTAATTGTAATTATTTGTCATTTTAATGATTAACCCTTGCTGAATAAAAATGTAATTGATGGAATTGTATTTTTATATTATATTATAATATATTATATTATATTTATATTATATTATATTTAGGGATGTCAAATTGATTGTTACACAATATATATGTATGTGCTGTGTATATTTATATGTATATATA